CCCAACGTTTTTCATAGAAAGTGGCTAATTCTTCTCACTTACATAGGTTATTTCATCAAGTTTATCTCAACATAAACCACTCAAACTGAGCTATGAAATAATTAAGAGCTTTTATAATAGCTCAACCTCACAAAGGGTATGGTGACTTTCTTCAAGTTCATTAAAAATGAACCACCCAAACTCTGGGAATAGAAGTCATTAAGAATAAATATTCAACCTCATAATTTGGTGAATTCAATATGTCCTTCTCACTAGGATCCCCCATTCAATATGTCCTTCTCATTAGGAACCTCTTGGGTTTGAATTCATTAAGAGTTTAATAAAACTCATTCTCTCAAGCGGTAAGTTCATCTAGTCCTTCGCGATTAGAACTACCCACTCAACTCTAGGTTATGAACTTATTAAGAATAGATATTCAGCCAAAATCGGTAAATTCATCAAGTATTTCTCACTAAGACCACCCAAAGCCTGGGCTATGAATTTATTAAGAGCAATTAAGCTCATCCTGGGCATGCACATTATTCATCATAGGGATAGGCAGTAGGAATGTGCACTATGAGTCTTTCCATGGTTTCGTTTGACCACAGGAACTTAGATAACTAAGTTTGGGTATCCCCATGAATTCCTCAACCAATGGGCTTTAGACCCATCCCCTCGACGAATCTAGGACCAAGGATCTGCTAGGTTCCTTTCCGACTTCACATACTTTAAAGAGAGCACTCTGTTCTTTATTAAGTGTCTAACTGATTCATGTCTTATGCGAATGTGTCTTTTCTTACCATTGTAAGCTTGGTTTTTAGCCACACATATCGCAGCTTATGATCATACAATAAGAAATCTGAGTAGTCGGTCTTCCCACAACGGAATATCTGCTAACAAGCTTCTGAGCCACTCGGCTTCTTGCCCAGCTAGGTCAAGAGCTATAAATTCTGACTCCATGGTAGAACGAGCAATACAAGTCTGCTTTGATGATTTCCACGAGATTGCTGCTCCACCTAAAGTAAAATATACTCGCTCGTAGAGCTTACCTCATCATTATCAGAAACTCAATTGACATCACAATCCTTCCAGTACTACAGGATAGCCAATAAACTCAAGTTTCCATCCAAAGTACCCTTAAATACTTCAGTAAGAAAGAGCAATCCAGTGTTCACCACTTGGATTATGAGTATATCTACTCAGTCTACTCACAGCATAAGCATATCATGCCGAGTATAGTTCATTAAGAACATTAAGTTTTCGATTATTTAAAATATTTTGTTTGGGAAACACTACTTCCTTTATTCTTAAAAAGATATATCTAGTCACAAGGGTTCGAATAGGGACGACATCAAAACTATCAAATTTCTTTAACACTTTCTCAAGATAGTGTACTTGACAAAGAAATCCTTTTCCAGTAATTTTGACTTCTAAGATTACAACAACTTCTCCCAAATCCATCATCTCAAATTTAATGAACAAAAATTGTTTGTTTTGTTAATGGACTCAATGTTAGAACTAAAAATCACATGTCGTCAACATACAAAGCTTATGATAAAGCAATCAGTACCACTCATCTTCGAATACACACTAACATTTGAACCATTCACACAAACCAAAACTAAGTATAATTTTATGAAATTTCTTGTACCATTGTTCCCATATATCCCTCATCTAGATATCCATTTTATGCACTCGCAACTTATGAATAAAGGCTATTGCAAATAATGCATGGATCGTTAAGATGTTCATAACGGGAGTAAGAATCAAATTGTCTAAAACAAACTTTTAAGTGAACCCTTTGACAACTAGCCTTGCCTTATACCACTGGATCAACCATCTGGTTTCATTTTCTTCTGGAAGATTCATTTGCTATAGATTAGTTTAAATCCTCTAGGCAAGTCAACTAATCTCAAGTATGTTTAGACATTATCGATTCTAGTTAATCATTAATAGCGCTTTTCTAGAACTAGTATCGATAGATCTTATAGCCTTTTTTTAGGATCCTCATATAATATTTAAGCTATATGATCAAAGAGAGAGTCTAAATCATTTATCTAAGAAATAAAAGAAGTGATAAAATTTGGTCCAAATAGCCTTTTACTTCTTCTAGTCTCGAAATCAATTTCTTGATAGACCTAGCAGGAATACTAGAAGAAGTTGATAGAATATTTTTCTTTCTTTTTAAGATTATGCATTTAATCTATATTTAAGACAGACCCCCACATTTTAACATTTTAGGATATCCATAAGTGTCTTTTAAAACGTGTAAACAATACCAATCATATTAGAGTAAAGTTTGTTATGCGTTTTAGCCATAAAACTATATTTTAACAAACTTAAGTTTTGTTTACACATAATTATATTCTCAAAGTTTTGAGAAGTTACATTAAGATAAAAATGCATAAACCATTATGAAATGATAACCTCTTTTCTTTCCTCTACTTAGGAAAATCACCTAGAGATTTAATAGCTACAACACTCTTAGTAGCAATAGAGTCTATCATATTCTCATTCATGATATTCAACATAATAGCCTTAAGAGATCATATATTTTTTATTATGACTAAATTTGGTATTCTACTCATCCAATTAATCTACTCTTTTAACTTCTGCACTAAATTTTAAGAGTTTTTATCTTGTCATAGTATTTGAATAGTGAGCATAGTAATGAACAATGCACCAGGTAGGTTTCTATGAAAGAGAGGTGGTGCACTAGGCACCTTAAGTACCAAGTCTTTATAGAACCAATCCTAGCATCACTTTCATACTCATCACACTACTTTTGTGAATTTTTCTTTCTTTAAATAAGATCTCTTTAAAGAATTATGCTTGATACTTTTACTCACAATAATATCTTTGAAGCATATATTTTGGGCTTGCACTACTACCTTATCCTTAGTAGCACTACCTTAGTCTCTGCTAGTGGTTTTATCTCATTTCATAGTATCCACTGAGTTTTAAAGACTATCTTAAAGGCGCATGCAATCTAATTCATATTTAAAAAAAACATGAATTAACAGATAACAAGTCTAAATAATCTAACCTCGCATGTAGAGTCATAATTTCCAAATAAACTTATTCATCCTCACCATGCATGCTATTTCAGCCTTTGCATCATCATTTTAATCAGCATGATCCCAAAATCCATCGTGACAATCTCTTCATATGAACCAACATCTCTTTTGTATATTCTGAAGTCAAATGAAGAATATACATGGTTAGTCACAAAATTAATTTACTAACAATAATTTAAAATAAAATTATTGATAGTGACAAGATCCTTATCTTTTGGTTTCTTATCTTCAAGATTATGGAAATCAACTATTCAGTTTGAATAATCTCGTTCAATATCATCATCATGATTTTCTAAAATTGCAATCGTTCTGTTGTCTTATAAATTTCTCAAAAGAAATTATTAGTATGACAAGAGAGTTGACATTTATTTTCAACTTACTATTTTATTTTTAACTTTATTCAGAAACTGAATATTCTTACCTCACATGAAAATAATAGTTACATATCTCCACATGAAACAAAGGTTGTTATTCTCCAAGAGAATCAATTTCCATTATAATGGAGTCATTAAATCATAATCTTTATTGCACAAATATTAACAATATATACCCATATATATAGCAATATATTCATTAAAATGAAAAAATAGTTAATTCACCAATATAGCTATGTATACACGTTAAAAGCAATAAATGCTTTTTAATATTTTTTATTCAAACATTAATTCATTTAAAATTCAAATGAATCATCAATAAAAAAATATATTATATGTACACTAAACACCAAAGTTCCAATTAATCATGATAACATATTATCATGCATTAATGCTTGTAGCACAATTTAAAACTTCCATTTAATAATAAAATTGTTATTCTTTAAACTTCATAAAGCATTTATTAAAGGAAGTTGATTGTAGTTAAAATATTATAATTGCTTTCAAATGTACATAACATATCTATCTTAAAAAAATTATGAAGCACTAATCTTTAAAACATTGAAAGCACATAAATATTAATTCAAGCATTAAACATTATTATGCATTAAAACTCCACGCGTTAATTATAAAATGTCATTACTCTTCAATGCTTTTATGCATACAATTTTTAATACCTTTAATATAATCAAATAAGGATATTAAAAGACGACATTTATAACTAATATTTCACGCGTTTTTAATACAAAGGTTTTGGCACTATTTAAAACATTTTGCCATAAACGCGTTACCACATAGCAATAATGTTTTTAATTTCGTTTTAATTAGCATTAATAGTTCCGTTTTCTAACACATTCAATTCATGCTCTACACAAAACGTTTCAATCACCATTTTGTTAAAGTTATTGGTGAACCCATAAACTTTGTTCAGCAGTAGAAAATTTTCCTTTACTCAAAAATTTCATTATATTCTAAATGAAAAATTAAAGGAGCAACTAAAGGAAAACTTACTTTTCGGCAAATATCGACTGTGATTTTACCTTTTGATTTTTGTTGATTATAGTCGTATTCGTGTTTAACAACAGTATATGTGATTCGTTTTAAATTGTTGGTAAAATAGACTGCTGCAAAGCGACGTTAGCACTTACTGGAAAATATTAAATAAAATAATCAATCAGAATGATAACCGTGTCGTGGTAAAATCACTGCCTTAGAAACGAATTCTCCCGTGTGTAATCGCTACAGTAGGCGGACCGTTCTCCAGATATTAATACGGCTCTCCGAGAATTCGTACACCCGAAAACTGGAATGAACTTGGTGGTATTGCTCTTCTCTCAACTCAAACAAAGCTCTTAAGATAGGAATATTTCAAAACAAATGTTTGCTTGGAATGATTAAAATGAATGAATTTTTCTATTTATAGGATAAATAATGAGGGTAAAATGATCATTTCCAACACTATATTTCCAATATTAATTAGCATTTCCATGATAACTATAACCTAATTTGAGCATTTTCTCATGCTAGTGGAATTTTGAGTATTACCAATACTTTGAGCATTATCAACATTGACTCCGTCAGATCAGATCTGGTCCTTTTGGGCAGATCTTTCGTCCCGATAACTTCGTTTTCGGTCAGTCTGGTGCTGGGAACAACTGGGCCAAGGGTCATTACACCGAGGGAGCTGAGCTCATTGATTCCGTTCTTGACGTCGTAAGAAAAGAAGCTGAGAATTGTGATTGTTTACAGGGTATCTATCATCCCAGTAACTTTTACATTTGCTTTTTATCTGCATTTTATTCGTTTTACCTTAATTTCTATTGGGTTTGTTCTTGATCTTGGGTTCATTGTGCTGATAACATTTTTGTAGTGCAGATTATATGTTTTTCTCTGTCATACCTATGGAACATTACATTGAAGTAAATGGTGATATAAGTAGGGATTTGTTAAGGCGTTGAATCCTATGATGCTTTTTCACTGTCTTGTGTTTGAGGATTGAAATTTATTTTCACATGTCTTGCTTTGAAGTTTTTGTGGTTGCATTATGGTCTGATTTTGCATTTAGCTTTTTATGCAATTGCCATGAAAGCCGTTCTGGTCGGCTTATGCTTGCATAGAAAATAAACATATGTTGCAAGCTTGTCTTTTTTAATTCAATTTAATTTGATTACCCAGCCCATTTATTTATGTTTTCTGTAATGATGTTTAACGAATATTGTCTATCATTGATATCATTGGCTCGGCTTTGTAGTTCGTACAATCTTAAGTTTTGAACTTGTTCTTACTTCAGAGCTTTTTGTTACCAGTAGCTGGTTTCTGAAAGCTCACTTGAAAAGAAAAAAAATGCCTGCCTTCATTTCTTACTTTTATGTGCCTTTGGGACAGGATTTCAAGTTTGTCATTCTTTGGGAGGAGGTACTGGATCTGGAATGTGAACCCTTCTTATTTCCAAGATTAGGGAGGAGTATCCAGATCGCATGATGTTGACGTTTTCAGTCTTCCCTTCTCCTATGGTGTCTGATACAGTTGTTGAACCATACAATGCTACCCTTTCTGTTCATCAGCTTGTTGAGAATGCTGATGAATGCGTGGTGTTGGACAATGAAGCTCTCTACGACATCTGCTTCCACACCCTCAAGCTTGCCACTCCAACTTGTAAGTTCTGATGTTTCATTATAAATGCCCAGTTCTATTTTCCTAACAACTGACATGGAATCAGTTTCCCAAATCCCAAGTATATTTATCTGCCTGCCATCTGATTCATCTTAACTTGACCAGTTGGTGATCTTAACCACCCATCTCTGCTACCATGAGTGGTGTCACATGCTGTCTAAGGTTCCCTGGACAGCTGAACTCTGATCTCTGTAAGCTGGCTGTCAATCTTATTCCCTTCCCTCGACTACACTTCTTCATGGTTGGATTTGCACCCTTGACATCCAGAGGATCACAGCAGTATCGGAACCTGACAGTTCCTGAGCTGACTCAGCAGATGTGGGATGCCAAAAACATGATGTGTGCTGCTGCCTTACTGCTTCTGCAATGTTCCGGGCGGGGGTAAGATGAGCACTAAAGAGGTTGATGAACAAATGATCAATGTCCAGAATAAGAATTCATCATACTTTGTTGAGTGGATTCCTAACAACGTGAAGTCTAGCGTGTGTGACATCCCACCTAAGGGTCTAAAAATGGCATCCACTTTCATCAGAAATTCAACTTCTATTCAGGAGATGTTTAGGAGGGTTAACGAGCAGTTTACAGCAATGTTCAGGAGGAAAGCTTTCTTGCATTGGTACACTGGCGAGGGAATGGATGAGATGGAGTTTACTGAAGCAGAGAGTAACATGAATGATTTAGTTGCAGAGTATCAGCAATACCAGGACGCAACCGCAAACGATGAGTACGAGGAAGGAGAGGAAGAAGAGGAATTTGATGATTGAGTTCTGAATGATATGCATATCGTTTGGGAGATGTCTATGTTGTCAAACTTTTGTTGACATAACATAGTTCTACCTTGTATTTGATGGATAGAGTACTTGTGACTCTACATTTGCTTCTAAAGCTTTTGATGAATGATAAGATTGTCTACTACTATTTTAAGAAATAAGATTGTCTTGTTTTAGGTCAAGAATTGGATAAGTGTGTTTATTCTGACGGTAAGTTATAAAAATACTACTGAGAAGGCATGAAAGTATATTAAAAACGTAAAATCATATTTGATTTCCATTCAACTACTGTGGAGCCAAATGCTCGGGTAGTCGGGTGCAATGAACAGCTAAAGAGAAAGATCACACTTAAACACCATTAAACTAAAGCTACAAAACAGCCTAAATGAAAATAGTCTTCATGTACCGGTTATGTCCTGGAAAACCTGAAGCCGATTCCTTCTCAACGAAGCATTGTTTGGTAAGGCATTGTATCTATCCTTCATACACATTGATACTAGCTGTTGAGTTATATTTTCAATATGCGTAGAATGACCAGGATGCTGATAAATTAGTTGGAATTCAGATTTTCATCACCGAACTCGTCGTCCTTGTTAACCCATCATCAGAGCTCTTCCTCAGATATTTTTTCCACGCTGAAATTCTTCCTTCTCTCTTCTTCAACCATGTCTGCCAGGTTTTTTTTTTGTGCAGTATTTGCTGGTTTTTCCAGTCCAATTTCTGATTCATCTTTAGAAGAAACCACATTAAGAATTTGCAGTGGATGATTAGTCACACCGCATGAATTGCCGCCAATGGATTCTTCAGCCCATCTTCTCCTTGTTTTATCTCTATCGTTTGGCCTCGACGAAGAGTTTCTTGGCTGAGTGAATAAGCCTTCCACTGACTCCTCTTCCTCCTCTACGCCAACTGGAGAGTTTTTGGGCTTCACATTACTTGAAGAAGGTGGTTGTTCTTTAAGATTCTGGATTGAAGGTGACGTCACACTTTCGGTGGTTACAGTTTGCTCGAAACAAAGCTTTCGACTTGAATTTCTAACTGTATCTTCTCCCCATCTTCCTCCTCTCCTCTGATCTGGAGTGAAACCCCACGAACATCGTCTTGGCTGGGTTAACAGAACTTCTGAGTTCTTCCTACCAGCTGCTAAGGAAGCATACATATTCTTATGTGAGGAACCTACTTCTTGTCTGGTTGAATACCTACAGCCTTCCTTCAGCTTGCTGGAATACACTGACCCTTCAATTGGGCTTCCGAAGTACGAGCCTTTTCTCCACTTCTCAGTGAGCATGGTTTGTGGAGTAGACTGCAAACTACCTTTCAGTCCAATTGGTGTACATTGTGAACTTGTGTCATCATATCTAGACAAGTTATCATTCTTGTCAAGGTGATGGTGGTTTTCATGGTATGATTCACCATTTTGCTCATCTCCATGAGGCAACCTTCTCCTGCCCATACACCAAGGACTATTATCTTCATTTCTGGGAAGGAAAACGCTAGCTTCCTTCAAGCTTTGATCCCCGCGTGACATCAAGAATCTTCGAGTTTCTTTCCCTTTATTTGGTTCATGTTCCACAACCGGCTCTAAATTTGATTGAGACTCTACTTGCATCAGCATTTCAATAGCACGTTCGTACGATTTCGAGTAGGATTCATCCATCTCTTCAGTTCCAGCTGAAGCTTTAACATCCTGAAGCAGTGACTTTGCTTCACCGATCCTATTCATGTGCATCAAGCATATTGCCAGGTTGCATTGCTTATTCTTATCTGGCTCCAGAGACAGAGCTTTTCTGTGATGGTACAAACTCATGTCAAAAATATGTTTATAGACACATACATATACTTGTAGGGAATATAAACATAGCATGGCATACATGTAATGTTGTTCAGCAATTCCATAATTATGTTGCTGGAGATAGGCCCAAGCCAAATTCCCTAGTATCCTGAAACATATACAAATTGCAGAAATTATAAGTTGAAAGATTAAGAACAAATAAAGGGTCTGAATACAAATCGATATACCCCACCTTGATTTCTCTTGTTCAATAGTAATCTGAATCTTCTTCCCTTGAGATCTTGCAATCTTGGTCTTCTTCCCACCGAAAACAGTTCCTTCCTCGATGTTCCTCAGTTTGGTCTGAAGGATTTCAATCTCTTCATCAACCCTTCCAGACCTCTGCAACAACAAACGATTTCATCTCTTATTTGTAAACAGAAAATTAAGCTTTAATAGAAACACATAAACATTTGAAGATAAAGATTGGCATCGTACCTTGTAGAGTTCAACAAGGACATTATCAAGAGACTCCTGAGAATCATGAGAACATAGATGGCGGAAAGATTTGATTGCCTCAATAGCCTCATCAGATCTATCCAGTTGTTTCATTACGACAGCCATGTCTTTCAATGCACTATCAACACGATCTCCAGCATTAATGGCTGCCCAGAACAGGGAAACCGCCTTATTTGGGTCCTTGTCTATCAACTGTGCATCCATAAACAAAATAAAATAGCTCACATTGAACTCTAAACCCTAAAGCAATAATCAAGAAAATACCAAGGAAATAGTTCGGAAGAAAAATGGAACGGAAAAACCAAAAAGATAGAAAGAAAAAAGGGGAAAAAAAAGAAAACTCATTTACGATGGGAAAAGGTGTAATTAACCTGTACGTGCTTTGCCCTGCCATAAGGAGAATCAGAAGCTGGCACTTTATGAATGACATGAAAGTCGCCATTATTGGCAGGCGAGATTCTTTTCCTCTCAGACAATGGCAAGGCGGTAGCGGACTGTGTTTTCTTCCATGCAGGGGGCTGTGGGGTCAAGAAACCCCTCGCTGGAAAGTTTTTGTCGCTTGACCACATCGATTCTCTGTTTTTTCTCGGCAAAATCTCCAAACCCTTTTCAAGATTGTCCAAGAAGTGTTTCTATCAGTCGAAAAAAAATTTTTCGATCAATCTGCTAATACAACAACTATTACACCTCCTCTAAATAAAGGAAAAGCCTATTAATTTGGACCAGACTCTTGAGTTTCTCTTCAATTCTCTCTATTGGAGGGATTTAGGAAGCGAAAGCCACTTTATCTCAAAATTCTGCCGGTATCTTGATAAAAAAAATAACGAAAGAAAGATTCCAGCAATGCAAACGATGAGAAACTTAGAGAAAATTGAAAGGGAAAAAAGTGTGAAGGTGATGATGATTCTGCGAGGAGAAAAATCGGATGACAATCAAAAAAATAAGTAGCCGTTATATAATTACTAGCCGTTGTTTTCTACCGTGGCTTTTTTACTTTGGGGGTAAATTGTTTTAATTATGTGTTTAATTTAATATTATGATAGTAAATGTTTATAGTAAAAAAAATTATTTGTAAGTTATTTCATTCCTCTCTCTTCTAAAATCTAAAACTCCTCAAAATTTATATCTTAAATTAAAATTATTAAAATTTTGATTTCATAAAGAGAGGTTGAATTAAATAATTTAAATTTGAAATCATCCGAACAAAATTATAAATATAATTAACATATTTATATATAATTAATCCCTTCTCTTTTATTTTTTATTTTATTTGATAAACCACGACACCAACACTAGTGTTCGTCTTAGAGGAAAACGTGTTATAAAAAAGAGAACAAAACATATCATATAGAAAGAATTATAGAAACTAAAAAATAAATGAAAAGCAAATATGTGATATAAAAAAGTACATGAGAAATAATGACATGTTTCGTTCTTTTGCCTTTTTTCATTTAATTTTTTAGAATTAGATTTGACGTCGTCTTAAATGATCAAAACGTTGACTCGACTTATCAAGACGTTACTTATTTATTATCATGTTAAACTTCTCTACTTTGAACACTCAATTTGAATTTGGATACGCAGTTTGTATTTGTTGATTGTTTCTCACAACGTTTGATTTTGATTTGTGGTTGTTAGTGATCTTTCAGTAGTTTAATCCTTATTGTGATTTTTTATAGAATCAGTCAGATTTATTTGTATCTATCTTTTGTTCGAGTTTTTTTTTATGAATTTTAACATTTTCCTCATATGATCTCGAATGACTAGTTTATTGTGTCAATTGTTATAATATTTTTTAAGGGTAAATTATGAATTTCATCACTGTACTTTACTCTATCTCTTATTTCACTCATTGAAATTTAAAAGTTTTCAATTTCCTTACGGAACTTAATACATTGGATTTTTTTGGTCACTGAACTTTAATCTCTTTCCTATTTTGGTCACTCTGTCGTTAAATAGTTAATGACATTAAAGACGACGTTATTTTAGAAAATAAAATTTTCACCAAAACGACATCGTTTTGCACCTATATAATAAATCATTTTAACGCCGTTAATTATTTAATGGCGGAGTGACAAAAAAAACCCAATGTATTAAGTTCAGTAAGAAAATTGAAAATATTTAAAGTATAGTGAGTGAAATAGGAGAGACAGTAAAGTTTAGTTACCAAATTTGTAATTTACCCTTTTTTATATATATTTGGTTTACAAATTTTATTATAATTTTAAATATTCTTTTAATAAAATTAATTTCTCTATAAACATAAAAAAAATTGTGAATATTTTACACAACATAAGATGCTTCAACAGATTGTGTTATCAATGAAATTGTCAAAATAAAAATATTAAACAGAAGTGGTAAATTGATCATGTCAACCGAGCATAAAACAACAAAACAAATTCAACAAATATAATAATAACTAAAAAAGAAAAAGAACTAAAAACCCCCGTCATCAAGCTTATCTCGCCGCCTCATTTCACGTCCTCACCATCTTCGTTCTTTTTCTTATTTTTTTAATAGAAAATGAAACGTGTTAACTTACTATTCGAGACAAACGAAAATGAGGATTTCTTAATGGTCAGCCTTTACGAATCACATCGAGAGATTGAAGAAAAGGAGAGAGACAAAGTGGAGCACCGAGGAGCAGCGACACCGTTCAAGCTGTGTAATTTCTATTTTCATCTTTAACTCTAATTCACTTTGGTTCGATCTCATTCCAAAAGTTCATATAATTAAATTAATAAAAAATAAACATTTGATATTTCCATAATGATATCTTGAATTTGTTGAAGATTCTGCTTTGCAGTTTTCATTTTTCCTTGTATTTGTTGTTGTTTTTTGGTTCATAACTAGGAAGATAGAAGACATGGAGTTATTTAGTTTACTGGATTTGGCGTTGACTGAATGATAGCAATATCAAATTTTTGCGGTTGATTTGGAATGCTGATGCTTTTATTAATTATTATGTATGTTCGAGGTTTTCTCTTGAAGGTTTATTTTGCTGCGAAGATAATTTTTTTCTTTTAACTGGATTGGTTTTTCATTAATTATTTTTTCAGGGAGGCTTAGTGAGAATGTAAATTTCGCTGAAGGATAGCCGATAAGCTTCTTTATGATATGTTCCGTTTGTTTAAATAATAGTATATATATTATAGTCTTTTTTCTGCTTTTTCCTGTTTTCTTCTTCCTTTTTTTTTTGGGTGATTTTAATCATTTTGTTAATGAAATTCCCATTATTGAATCATACAATGATTGTTTATTTGAAGTCTTAATTTTCCTTTCTTTTATGGTGTGTCTTATGAGTCAAAATGTATATAGGCTCATTTTTTTTGTTTATTGTATATTGTATATTGGAGTTGTGTTCTGATCAGCTGTCTTAAGTATTTCAGTTTTTGACCCTAGAAAAGATTTTGGAGTGGATCTGCTGGTCCGGTTTGGGCTGGCTTTGTTAACTTAAAAACGGCTCCAAGGACAGAACCTTGTGAAAAAATTAGAAGGGGCAAAGAGTATATGCAAGCTTTTCCTAAATTCTTGATTGCATCCCCTTCATTTCACGGTGGTCGTGGTGCCCTACCTTCAGCTGGTGGGCATCCCGCAGATCTTACATTCCTTGCTGGTGGTGGGTGCTGAACTGCTGATACAAGCGTCTTTAAAGTTGCGAGTGGAGCTATAGTTGTTGGTTTAGGACTGCTTTTATAAGATGGTTTCAGTGAAATGGCTTGAAGATAAAAACTTTCGAACAAAGAGTAGAAAGTCTAAGCAGCTAGAGCATTCTTGCTTGTTTCTTCAAGGTTAGTTATTGTGTTGTCTTTTTTTTTTCCCTCCTGTGTTCATCTATAGAGTTCAGTGGATAAATTATCTGGAAAAAAAAGCATTCCCCAAGAAAGCCAAGTGGTGGTTGTCACATTTGATGTTTTACTCGTATAGTTGTATTTAATATGAGTTTAGAAGGGGTGAGGTAAAGTAAAAAGAACAATGAATCTTGTCATTTTTGGCAAATATTCAGCATGTTAAAGTATAAGACTTGCTTTTTAGCCCAGATGTGAACGTCAAATACCATTTATGATGTATGACTATGCACGTCCCATGCATTTTAGTTCCTCTTGAGAGTAGGAGCTTAGTGAGTTTAGTACACTTGCTGCCCTTTAAATTTGGTGGCATGTTAGTGGTTGGCATTTTCCCATGGAGAAAAGCTTTCTAGATATCTTGGCTAATGGATATGCAATTCCATTTGGATTGGAGTAAAGACAATATTCATCTTGCTATAAAATTTTAGAACATGCTGAAAGGCTGAGTTTTCATTGGACTCTTAGCATATTTTTATTTTATTTTTCTTCAATCATGTTTTGAGAATCTTCAAAAAAATATACAGGTATGGATTTCCCTATTTACAACTTTAGTAGTCAATCTCTTGAGGAAAACACTTCATTTGAAGGTATGTCATGCATCACTGGGGAAGAACAAAGTATGTTGGATGCTGTTCTGCTATCTCAGGTATAGAACAAATGTGGAGCATACTTGTTAAGGTATACCTATCACCTTTATTAATTTTTCCTGTTGCTTTGGCAGTGGGAAGACCGAATGTTGAAAGGTTATTTCAAATATGACGTCACAACTTCAGAAATTAAGGTATTTAGATAGATGATTTCTTTTAAGTATAAAGCTGGAATTAAGGTGGTAAACATGATTTATGTGTTGCATTATATAGGTCATTACTGGAAAGATGAAGTTTCTTTCTCAATTGAATGAAGGGCAGATAACAGATCATCAGTTCAAATCTGAGGGAAAAAAACTCCATGAGTTCTATCCTCTTGTATTTGACTGCATGAAACACCCAGAGGAACTACTCTTTTGTCTTGCTAGCAGTAAGAAGGCAAAATCTGAGCTTACTCCTTCAGCTGATGTGCCTGACAGTGCCGTCTTAGTGATCATCAATGTAAGGCCAAGTATTGCTTAACTTTTGGCTCTTAAAGTGTATTTCCTGTGTGAAGATGGTATATATTCATATTTTTATTTTGTTAATTAGGAAAGGGGTAGGGTTGCTAGGGATTGAACCCAAGCTTTTATGCCATACAGCACAAATATCTTGTCACTAAGCCAATGGGTTATTGGCAATATATCCATATTATCAATTATTGAGATATATACTGTAAAACTATTGCCCGGAAGGTATTTGTTTCCTTCTAATATTTTCTTTCAACACAAGGGACCTGGAGCCTTTGGAGTGTTCCATATAACTGATATACTAGAAAATATGTTGCTGGAATATTTGGATCCTTGTTGACTTGGGTTGGGTGTGGTATCCTTTTATCAAGTCTGAATTAGGTTTCCCATGAATGAATTATGTATCTACCTTGATACTAATTGTGTCAATCTTCATTATGTTTTCGTTCTTTTTCATGATTTTCCAAGAAAGCTTCTATTTTTGTGGCATTGGAGTACTCTTCCAGTACTTTAAGCTTCAATCCACCGTCTTTTTTTGGAAATAAAACATGAAGATATTGAAAAATACAATTATGTAACCCATGAGGAACAGTAGGTTTCCATTTTTGTGTAGCTAAATCTAAGTGGTTGCTATACCCAAGAATTTGGTTCTTTAAGTTATTATATTCTTCTAATCCATGACTCTTTGGTTTTTAGGTAACTCCTGTTGAATATGGGCACGTCTACCTGGTACCTTGTTTCTCAAACAAACTTTATCCGTTCCTTGATGCGAGATCTATTGAAATATCCACAAGGCTTGCTGCAGAAATTAATAACCAATCATTTCGCATGTTTTATGATTGCTATAGACCTAATTTTTCTGCTGTATATTTTGAGGTAAAATTCCTTAACTTAATCCTTTTTTGGGGTACTAATATCCAAGTTTGGTTACATTAATTATTGGTTCTTTCTGTATGATGCTTTGAATACTTTCACTGTGTGAAGCTCTTGGTTGTAACTTATAAGCGGTGGTTATTTTAGCCTTGAGAATGATGACTGTATTCTCAAATGGATGTTTGCATGCTTAAATACGTTGTTTTTACACGATGCATGCTTATAGCTATCAAGATTCTCTTATTTGATGTTGCAGGCTTGTTACCTTCCTCACCCTCTACCTGTGGAATTCAGGCCTGTAAGTACTTTCTTTGGAGGTGGTAGGAGAGGGATTCACATATGTTCTATCATAGATTATCCTATTAAAACCCTCTCTTTCACGACCACCCATAATCTCAAAATACTGGCGGCAGCTATTTCTGAGATATGTTCCCATTTAGAGGAAAAGAATGTTCAATATAATCTGATGATATCTGATTCTGGCAAAAGGGTTTTCTTGTTTCTTCAGGTAAGTATGTTTGTTCAAAGCATAATTTCCTTCTTGCTGAAACTGGATATCTCACTATTTTTTCTTAAATACACATTTCGATGCCATAGTCTAGAAGGCAAGATTGTAGTTAGTTATTTCTACCTTCTAGATGCTGTTGTTTCTTAAAATTTTGGGTTAATCATGCTGTTTTGTACTTTATAGTTTCAATTGTTTTACATTTTGAAATTATGTACGTACATTCATTAAATTACACTTTCAACCTACTCATCATGCTTAAGTATGACATGTTTTATATGGAAAATAAAAACATGCTTTGTGACGATGTAAGGTCACGCCAAAAATGGGGTGCACTGCCGTATAATAAAGATTATATAACCTAAAGGGTCGAAAGATTCCACATTTATGATGTCGTATGATATGGAGCTCTGTATTTTTATTAATTTGTTTTTTTTATAAGAGTTGGAGGTCTCGTTAAAAAACCCCTTCATAATTGATTTTTATTAATTTGTTTAGAAGACATCATATTTTGAATCACAAAATGATGAGTGGAATCAAATAGGTCCCATATTAGTAGTACCCGAATAGAAACATCGGTTGTCAATATAATGCCATGTGATAGGTTAAAGCGTAAAATAGGGAGGAAAATTACACTGGTTATGTGTCGATACATGGACGCGTGGCAAATTTTTATTGGTTATCTAAGAAAATATATTTACCTATTGTGGGATCTGCAATATGAGGAACGGAAGTAAGATTTGAGTCCTTAATTGCAGACATTGCTTTTAAATCTGATTTCTGTAGTTTATTTTGAGCACGGTAGGGTATTGCAGCATCTGTAGAGCTTTGTATGTGGGCAATTATCATTTGTGAAGAACAAGGAGACAGAAAATGCTGAACAGAACACAATCTTATGTGTTTGAGTTTTTTCATCTTCAATTCAGAACATCAGTCTAGATTTTGTGATTGGTTTCTTTATCAAAATTGATGTCAAATTGGAGGATTCATATTGTTGAGTACTGATGATAGTTGTATTTTGAATCCATCCAACAGAAAACTTGTGCAGCCTCTCGTGCAATCTCAGCCTGGGAATGTGGGGGTTACTTCTTGTATGCAGATAGGTATGAATTTGATCAAGTTACTGAGGACGCCATGCTTAATCGACTGAGCAGTTTCTCCCTTGACGATTGTGACTTTGAAGCTGTGAAGCAGCTTTGTTGCAGCATTGCCAGTAAATTCGATGTTTGATCTAAAAGCTTATGAATGCATGTTTATATGGTGGAATTGCATTGCCATTTACAATCCCCCCCCTTTCCTATTGCCTATTGGGAACTCGGGCTTGTGTTTAGGTGTTTGCTTGTTTGTTTATGAGAATTAAGAAGATCTTGTGAAAGCTGTTTGTTTATCAGGACGGCTTTTATTTTACCGTAAGCATGAAACTAATAAGGGGAGAAATCACTAAAGTATTATATAAGAAAATTTTGAACATCATTAACATAGCATCTAAAAAAAGGCTTACATAATCGACCCCAATTGGTGCATACAAATAGCACACATTTGTTATGACCCTCAAGAAATAGAGAATAAAAATAGACAAAGAAGAGAAGAAAAGAGGAGAGAGTAGACGAGAGAATAGAGATTCAAGAGAAGAAAAAGTCTATTCTTTTAACACGTGAAAACTTTTATGCAGTACATGGTTATTTAATCATAATACACTAGGTTTCCTCCTATTTTGGCTTGGGCTTATCCTAAGGCCCTAGTTTCCCTTCCTCAAGTAAGTCTGCTCTTTTCTTCATGTTAATTTTTCCCATGTGAGTCACATACTCCCCTTTTAATTCTTCTTCATCAAAATTCCCCAATTCACTACGTGCAATCCCTAGCTCAATCCCTAATTCATTTTCTGAATCCCCAATGCCCTTCGCTTCATCCTTCTCCTCTCTCCCAACCATGACAATTCCTCCCCCTTTAGACGATCCTTGTCCCCAAGGATCAAAGTATCGAATTTGTGATAGCAAGACCAAAAAATCCTTCCAAGTTGCAAAAGAAAGAAGTCCATCCCAACTAATTATCCATTGCTTGTATGTCTCTGGCCTCTGCACCCTGTAGGGCCCTCGCGTGTTATAACATTCCCGACATGTTGGTTTTCGACCAACTTGGTACCAAGTTCCTCTGCTTTAGATTTTGAATTTTGAGCCTCCAACAACATGGTGTTAACTTGCTTTTCTAAAACAGGTAAAAGGGTTTGATACCAATAGGATTTTGGCCTTCAATAAACTCTACCTCCCAAGACGACAATAATCTTTTCCAAACCAAATCTAACCTCAAGAAACTCTGTTTTCCTCTGTTTTGAGTCTGGCTTATTCGTAACATGTGTTTCAATTTCTGCTTTAAGTTGTTCAATTACAAAATTATGTCTTGAAAGCGTACACTGTAGTTCTTCCACATAATCATTCTCAGAATCATCTGTTGGAACCTCATAAATCCTCATTTCAGGCTTGGAAGGATCATTCACACGCACATATTTCCCCTCATTTAACTTCGGACACAAGTAGCTAATAGACTTCACAATCCCCATATTTTCACAGTATTGAGATTAATTTGAGTAGCACAATTTCTCGGCTTGTAACCAATAACACCCAATATCACATGGTTAAAATGATCCTTAGGATGCACCCTCGAAACATGTCCTAAACTCATCAAATCAACATTGGCTAAAATCACTTGTGCAGTCTATTTAGCCAACTTATTCGCATTGTTCTTTAACTCAGTAGCCAAAACCGCACCCCTTTGAGTCTCCAACTTCTACCTCCAATCAACATCAGAGTACTTGGGATCAAATCATTAAGTGCATTCAAAGTAAGGAAAGACTTCTGGTTATTAACATCAACAACACTTTGAACCTCACACGGAGCAACTAACTGTATATCATTATCAAGCGTCCACCTTTTATACCTATAAGCAACATAAGCCACTTCGTCGCCTTTATTGACAAACGAATTTGGCTCATCGAAACTAACCTTATTCCCATGCCTATAAAACCTGTTGTGAAAACTTCTGATTTATATATGCAACTTCAACGCTTAAGGAATAAGCCGAGTTAATATCATCTTTAGCTTCAAGTAATGGCTCCTGAGATGTCTCGTGGAAAGACAACAAATCCAATTGTGACCCATCTATTTTATCGAAAAATAGCTTGTTCCCAACTTTGTATGCAACAAGAACTCCAGCTTTAACAATAATTAGAATAGTTAAGCCTTTGGCTCCTTTCAAAACTATCAATTGTATAGATCTCTCTGGATTCGACCTAGCAACCTGGCAATAGCTTTTCAAGGTATTGGATGATTTTAGATCTCATGTTCCATGGACAAACCAATTGGCAAGTTCAACCAACCACGAGTACATGTCCAATCCATGACATCATGCATAGCTACTTGCGCAACATTGCTTATGGTATTGATAAGAACACTCTGCAATGGATCAAGCCTATCATAGCAAGAATCACACACCCTCTGGGAATTTCTTTCCCTAAATTTAACATGTAGTAAGCATCTTCCCTTAGAACACTTAGAACATGCTTTGCAAAAAATCCCTCCACAAAACCTGCAATGATATCTTCCACGTATAAGTGAAGTAAAGAGAGCAATGTACATGCAAGCTATGGTAAAACCATCTAGAATCCACTCCGGAGGCTCAGCTTCCAAAACCTCTTTATATATGTTATAATCTAACTCATTCGACTCCAGAAGTGGAGTGGCACTTAGCATATAAACAGAGGAGTACAAATATGTATCCCCAATCTTTCCAGACCCCAAAAATGAAACATTAAAACGATGGTATTGCTGATTCAAAGAAACACTCGAGGAGCCTTTATTACGCCTAGTTACAATTGCAACTAACCCACTCAACACATTCTTCAAGTTCACCTCTGGATGCATGCCATTTTGTATTGAACTACGAAAATCATCACCAGAATCATATCCTTCATCAATAAAATCATCAGACTCACTTGAAAACTGATAAACATAGTCATTTTTCATCAACTTTGAGCCAAATGTGACAATACTCTTGTCTTGGGGCTCAGTCCAAACAAATAACCTACTCCATCTCATCAACAAAAGCTGAAACACATAAGGATCAAGGATTGAGATATGTTCACTGGCATTCATAAACACCATGAAATAATTTTCTCTAAACATCGATTGAACTATAGAATTCAGTCTATTTGAATTACCATATTTTTGACACTGTGGAAACTTATTCACATTTATTGTTGAAGGAGAACCGCCTAATTGTTTCGTTGCCGTTCGAGCTTTTTGAATTGTGCCATCAAAGAGTCTGGGTGAATAAAAAAACATGCGATATAAGAGTAGCAACCTGAATCGATAGGGATATACCGTGAGTTTTCAATGAGAACAACTGCGAAGATCTCGCCATTTTGACATTTTGATGAAGCTGGAAAATGGTGTTATTGATTGATTGAAATTCAACATCTTCTACTCTCACAGTCATTTTATCGAACACGTAAGAATTATCATGTTTTTGCTCACACTTTTTACCTGTCAGAATCTGTAAAACCATTTTCACATACATCTGATTCATTTTCATTCTAGATTCCAACGTCCTTAATCGACGTTCATGCTCTTTCCACCATTGAGGAGGTTTTGTGACATCTGTTGCTTGCTTCACCAGAGTTGTAAGTTTTGCAATCTGCTTTTGAATAGTAGATAAGTCAGTTGATTCAGCCATTATTCGATTTTTCTTGGAATACACAGATATCAACATGTTAGGATTAATGGCTCTTGATACCAATTTGTTATGACCCTCAAGAAATAGAGAAGAAAAATAGACGAAGAAGAGAAGAAAATAGGAGAGAGTAGACGAGAGAATAGAGATTCAAGAGAAGAAAAAGTCCAATCTTTTCACACATGAAAATTATATTCTACAGTACATGGTTATTTAATCACAATACACTATGTTTCCTCCTATTTTGGCTTGGGCTTATCCTAAGGCCCTTTTTCCCTTCCTCAAGTAAGTCTGCTCTATTCTTTATGTTAATTTTCCTCATGTGAATCACATGTTCCCCTTTTAATTCCTCTTCATCAAAATTTCCCTAATTCACTACGTGTAATCCCTAGCTCAATCCCTAATTCATTTTCTAAATCCTCAATACCCTTCGCTTCGTGCTTCTCCTCCTCTCTCCCAACTGTGACAACATTTCACAAGATAAATAGATGATACATAAAAGGGTTTATGGTTCAAAATTTCCCATTCTTCTATCCAATTGAGTGCGGTAGACTACATTAAAGTTTGTTAACTAAAAAAATATGGCTGATCGTTGCATAGTAAAGTTTGTTCAATTTAATCAGATGAGTTGTATACTTTATTTATCCTTTTGAATACTTCTGAGCCTGTTTAAAAGAAGGGTAAATTACAAATTTAATCACTGGGCTTTACTCTCTCTCCTATTTGGCTCACTGAACTTTAAAAGTTTAAAATTTAATCATTAAACTTTAGAGATTGATTTTTTTTGTCACTCAACCGTTATTTTCTCTAACTTTATGTTGACTTGGTATTTTTATTATTATTTTAATTGATTAGGTATGATTTTAGTATTATTTTAATTGCATATGCATCAGCTTGGATTCTAATCACCATTTTCGCAGTCGACTACCATGACAACCGCCATCCCAGGCGATTAATATATCTTGCTCCCATGAATATGAATCCTAAAAAAAATTTAATCTATCAACCATTGCGTTTATTTTTGCACAACTCATTTCATCTCATTCAAATGAAACTCAAATCTTAGAATCACAAAAGTGGGGTGATAAGGATAAAAGCTAAACTTCAATAAGGATTAAGGTGCTAAAATGGTGTTGCAGTGTTTTTTTTTAATTAGTTGTAAAATTAATGAAAAATAATTAAAAAACTGGGGTTTCAAATTCATTGATATTTTTGGGAATTTTATTTGTATTCAAAACAAAAATCAATAAATATTTCAATTTTAAATGACAAACAAGTGTGTTACATACAATTGAAATTTAATAGAAACAAGCAACAGAGAAAGTGAGAATTAAGGTCCCTGAAACTCACTTGACTACAAATAATAGAATGATTTCTAGAACTGGGCAACAAAAATCAGTACCTTTTAAGTTGAATATCAACAGAAGCCTTTACGGTTGATGATGATGACCAAAAAATGATGATTTTGGAAAAGTTAAGGGTGGATCCAGGAGGATTTATAATTTAAGGATCGATTATTTTAGGTTCATGAACCTCTGGTG